TCATTTCCTCAGGTTATTATGGTTAATACTCAATGAATAAATTATCTTGAAAACGAAGAATAGTGCACTAAATGGCATTTTTGCGTATTTTAAAGCATCAAATTCTTACATTTTTAACCGCAATGATTAATATAAAATGAGTGTTTTGTTTTGCCAACTACTCATTTCTTGTACATTTGCTGCTGTGCATTGTATTGTAAACAATTACAAGGTGGTTAATTTTTATTACTAGGTGGTAGGTAATAAAAGAACAGTAAATATCATTATGAACAAAAATTGATGGGGGGGGGCCAGGCCCCTGTAGGTCCCCCCCCTCAGATACGCCCCTGGATGGTACAATCCAGCAGTCTTAGTATCACTTTTTCCTTACTTGAAGAATGATCTGATGGGACATGGACCTGCGCATAGACTGTTGGAGTAGATTGGTGTAAAAATTATCTTTGTAGCATCAACTGATGCCAAGATACACACCGACAACATGATTGACAGGACTTATGACTTGAAGATGAAAAAGGTGGCTGATTCCGGTTCACTGATTTTTGACTTTCCTCTTAGACAAGGTCTAGAGCCATGCTAGTGGTACCAATAGAGTCCTCTGGTCAAGATAAGGTCCTCTATAAAGTCTAGTAAGCATAGGAGCTCGTTTTCCCAGTATAGCAAGGCTGCAAATGTCGTGGCAGCCATTTTGTTTGGGGGTGAATCCACCTACTTAGTAACGCTACTGTGTTACTAATGTACACTGTACATGTACTTGTTTGAGGAACAGCTTAACAAAATTTTAACAGCTAGTTATGACACAATGTTATGGTCTTATTACTATAGTCAGGGGAAACTGCTCTAGTTGCAGCAGCCAGAGGAGGACATGATGATATTGTACAGTTATTAAGTGAAGAAGCTGATCCAAATACTTCAGTTCATGTGAGTCAGTATTATTAACAGTCACATCTATTTTTAGCCATTTTATTTACTTTTACCACTCCCACTTGTAATTGTACATTGGATTTTAGCTTTAATGTATATGCTGTATTATGATTTACAGATGCATGGAGTAAGTGTGATATTAAATGGCCTACATATACATGGTACTGGACCCAATATGAACATAGTAGTAGTAATAATAATGCGAAAAATTGAATAGCTTCACTTCATGACAGTGCTGGAATTATTGGCAGGAAAGTGTG